AAGCCATTGATTGGGTCACCTCTGCGCGCGCATCATGATTGCTTATTTTCAAATCGCTGTATAGCTCTAGTGCATGGGCGGTGATTCAACGCATGATTATAAAAACACCTATTCTTGTCTTACCACAAAAAGTAGGCAAAATCATCAGTGTCTCCATGAAGGTAACCTTCAAGCATATCAACTGCATAGGTTTTCATTACGGAACAGTAATTCTTCTCTCTTTATAAATATATGTATGAGACATTTTCGAATTCTGCAAAAATCGAAGCTCACCACTTTCGAAATTTTACATTCGTGGCGCAGCTATTGGTTTTTTTTGCAATAGGCTCGTTCCAGCAAACGTTATCGTTGTGACGTTCAATTCAGAAGGCGGAATTCAGACCTGTACACGTCATGCATATCATTTGCATATATTAGGAGGGATGCCTCCTGATGTATGCAAGATTTACCGCTAGCTACCTGTCCCCATATCTGAAGTGTAAAGGACAATGGGGACAGGGACTATTTTGGGCACTATCGGACAGTAGGTGGCGCTGTTCATGGTGGCACAATATTACCGATGGGCGTTACAAAATGTAAGCACTCGTAAAATAAACGGCACTAGTGAGAAAATATTGAGGAGGGGGATAAATACCCCCTCACCCCTCGCGGATGCTACTTCACTGATATACATTTGTAAATAACAGCGCCCAAAACGTCATTTAATGTCAAACCCCCGTTTGAAATTATAGTATTTGAAGAAAATTAAGTATTAGAAGAAATCGAATGAAAGCACCGACATCGAATGAAACGACGGGCTAACGTTTAATCTGGAAAAATGTCTTGTCTAATTAAGAATTATTTGCGTCCTGACAAAAAATAATTTATCACATGGTAGACTGGGTTCCACCTCTATCAGAACACGTTAACCTGCAGAGCAGATCTGATTGTGCCGCAAAAACAAGTATTTTTCGAGTTTTTTTGGACGCCCTCAATAGCAAAAATAGTAAAGTGAATTGAATTTTTCCAGCGCATTATCATATTCAATACCTTTGGTTAAATGTGAAATTTTCTTTAATCTCAAGCTATATGATCTATTGATGAATGATAGCCAAAACAACGCATTATTTAAAATTGTCTTGTGCTTACAAAAGGATTAAAGGCCAAAATTCAAAAATTATTAAGTCTTGATGGAGAAACAAATATTGTACAAATAAAACATTGCATCAATGAAATATAGTTCAACAAGTAATATAAATTCAAAACTTTTGTGGCGGGTTTTTTCTTTCTCTCAAAATAATACAAGTGAAAGCTTTCCCACTAATCCGCAAAGTTATCGTTGTTAATACGGAGCTTTGCAATTTCAGCTTTTGTACATTGTGGTTTTGTCGTTGCGCTTAAATTATGTAAATATGAACGAAATAAGAAACGATTGTAAAACAATAATAATCAGTAAACAAGTTGATATCCTATTTTTGTTATGACTGAACATATCACATAATGTTACGTGTGCCCTGTCTACCTATGGATACCTATGTACCGAAAATGAAATAAGTCAAACTCAATTTACCCTGAATGATAACTGCTCATATGGAAAATAAAGCTACAGGGAGCAGAAAACTAGATTAATTTGGTTGTATCTAAACGTCTTTAATTGCCATTTTGCCTGTACATTGCATAATGTAAATAATAACATAATAATGATGAAAAATTGAGTGATAAGAACCAAACCATTATTGATTCTTATCACTCATTTTGCTGTTTGCTATTCTGCTTGTATATTGCGGCACACAAAACAAAAAGGTTCCAATGACCTATGACGTTGAATAAACCGAGTGACAAGAACCAATCAATGACTGAGCTTTTCTTGATTCATTCAAAGTCTCCTACATGTATTTGCAAGAATGTGATTTTAGTACTGTATTAGCTGCTGTAGGGCGACTGGAACTATGCTTCAAAACAAGAAAATGTATTTGTCTACCCTTTCATCTGTAACCTCGTCTACAGGCCCAGTGGCGAATCTGGGGGTGGGGGCTTTCATCCGCTGATTATAATGTTATGAAACTAGTAACATCAGGCCAACAATGATAATTGGAACGCTAAAGCTCCTATTTTATTCTAAAATTTCCTTGGAATCCAAGGGAAAGCTCCGTAGACTTCCGGTTTTTTTCTTTGGCGGGGGGTTACCTCCTGCCCCACCCAACATGGCATGACGTTTGGCACGCTTTCGCTCGGCCCCCTTGATATAACCCCCTCCCCCTCCGTTTCCGGGAAGTTAGATCCGCCTCTGCGGCCATCACTGGAACCTTGACTTTAACCCTAATATCATAACTAATCAAACTTGATCATTCCGAAATACTAAGAATCGTTCAAGAATGTTTGAAACATCATACCTTTTACTAAAAAGCAAACCTTTAAGCGCCGAGGAAAACCAAAACTGGATTGGGAACCTTAAGAAGTAATGTAGATATGTTTAAATCTGGAGTTATAGTTCAAAATCCCTGAGTTTTGGCCCGTCCCTGCATTTTTATTATTTCGAAAACGGGACCAATAACCCCCTGTACTAATAACGTCACTCAATGTTTACCGCAGTGCATTGTGGGATTGGGTGGGGGTCGCCGCACCGCGATCGCTATAAAAAACATGTAGTATTTGTCGTATTTATTGTCATGATTGTGTGGCGAGGCGAACAGCGGACATCCAGTTTATAGAGGGCAGCATCCAATGTTACAGCGGTTTCAAAGGACGTCCAATCAATTCAGCCGTGCACCATGCCATCACAGTCAACGCTCGCGTCCAGCCTACAGAGGGCAGCACAGGCATGGATAATGCTCTTTTCCAAGAAGACAAATTCGATAACGTTAAAACAGCCAACATGAGCGAGTTAGGGTGCGAACAATAGTTAGCAATAGTTCGATTTTATTTGCCTCGAATGAAGGATTGTGGGGCTACTCTAGTGGACTATTTGAGCATGGGGCACAGTTGACGGTTCCATCGCTGGTTACCAATAGCTGTCCGCACCGAAAAGCACAATGGGGAGCCAGGACATTTGGCCATCGTTCGTTTGACTTGAGGCGTTCGCGAGTTGCTATTAGTTCGCAGGCGTAATAACGTCCCTTATCAACCACTACTCGCTCGAACTTCATGTCTAGAGCTGATGCTTCCCATCAAACTGCAGTGTTCAGGGGTGTTTGGATGCGTGATGAGACAAAAGCCGATCGGAAAATAGCAAGTGAATGATTCATCTTGGTAATTGTATTTTTAACGTGACATTATATGTGTTTTACCGTTCATTGTGAATCATTACGTCAAATCATCCTAAAAAAAACCCTTCCTTTTTCCATTGATGTAATCAAAAGTATTCTGCGTAAAAGTCGGATGGGTCGCATGAAAACATTATCACTTTGAAAATGTGTGTTTTCCATTGCGACGTCGCGGCAACAACAAAAACACTCCATGAACAATTTGGACGCCGTACACAAACTAAAAAAAACCTATTTAGCCCTATGCATTGTCTGTAAAACGAAGAAATAAATGAGGCCTTACTTTATTGAATGACGGCGTATATCTAACATATTAAAAAAAATTCTTTGTTTCAAATTAACACATGTAGCGGCACGCCAGTAAGGAGGTCCGCTCAAATGATTAGATTTAAGGACGCCAAGGACAAATCAAGACAAACAGAAACAAATCAAAGCAGGAGTCAAATTATGCTTGGTCTCATGAACTTGTTCACAAAAATCGATTACAATAGTTTAAATTAACACATGATCTCAATTTGAACTCACAAAAACAACTGTTTCAAAAAGTACTGATAAGATAATAGATTCAGTTTCTAGCTCTATAAATTGTGACACAGTTGCCAATGATAAAATATATTAAATCACAAAGGTTGTATTTCTAAAGTTCCCAGATTCAAAGTGAGGTTCCTAAGATTCACCGGTTTCTAAGATTCACCGGTTCCTAAGATTCACCGGTTCCCCGAAGTTCCCCGAACGCCTGGCAAGTGTACGGCTGTGTTGTGAACTAGGCCTCCAAATTGCACCTGACATGAAACAGCCATATTGCCATAAATCAACATGTGACACACGGTGATTAAAACTTTTGAGATTGTGAAGACTAATTCACCCCTAAATCACTCCTTTTGTCAACATGAAATAAACCAACACCTAGCCCAGCGGTAGCAGAGAACTTGCATTATGACATTAGAATGTAAAGATAATACAAATTTGCTCATTTGAAACTAAAATGTTGGTTTTCAAGCACAAGTTTTGTACACGATACTCACACTTTGGTGTGCAGGCAGAAAAAGGGATGATATTCGCGCGTTCTCGGCACTGAGTGCGCGTTTGTATACATTTTTCTGGGCTGGGTGCCAATTGTACGGTGCCTCGTAAAAGACGTCTCACTACACACATATTTCAGAAATAAGTATTGAGGTCGGTTTTTTTTTGCTTCTTTTAAGCGGAATACTTTTGAATTGAATTTGTTTGGTAATACTCTACTGATCCGACTTCCCTCGTCGGCCTTGGCACTCGTATTATGCGTCGGTTTAAGCGTGTTGGTAATTTATTCCTGGTACTCCGTTAAATATACGGTGTTAGTAAGTAGGCCAAGCTGTGTACCATAACATCGAGGGAATGGTTGCCTTCTGTAAAAGAGTGTAGTCATGGTAACTATCCAAATAACAATAAGCCTCAGCTTCCCCTATAATCCATAAAGATCACTGGAACAGAATTTATATCGTAGGAGGAAAATTGTATCATCGGTTGTCTTTTTAATTAAGAGTGCTGCTTAAATTGAATACCGCACGTCTTCGTTAACCGACAGCTCGTGAAATCCAAAAGAGCCCTCTTATTAAATTTAAAGCATGGAATCAAAGAGCGTGAAATTGATATCAAAGGCTGTAGCTTTATTATTACACCACTTGCCTTGATATGGTGATCGATAATGACTTAAGTGCTATATAACGTTCTCTAAGATGACACGCCTACTTAGGTTCAGCCAATCAAAAGCTACGTATGTCTCAGGCAGTAGAATTGACCAATCACGAGCCGTTAACGTGGCATGAGGTCCAATTCTACCATCCCTGCCGGGCCTCTACATCATTTAGAGCTATCTTCAGTGTGATATCGGGGTATTTCATTTTATCCTCAGCTCTGGAGCAAGACATACAAACGTTTCTCGTCGAATACGGGCGATTTCAAATAGTGCGCCTCCAAGAGTTTGCACCGCGTTGGCCAATCACAATGCGCAAAATCTGTCGACCCAATGCGCGTTTGGAAAAGGTCGACTGATTTCGCGCATTGTGATTTGCCGACGCGTTGCAAACTCTTGGAGGCGCACTATTGGGAATCGCCCGTATTACAAGGCAGTGATTTTACGATTTATGCAGTTTTATAATCGCTACCGACATTTATTTAATCAGACCCGACAACTGATTGCGACGTTGAATCTTTCGTTTCAAGAGGAGAAGATGGCGATTAAGATCTTTAATTTACATTACATTCCTTGTATTTCATGGAGCTATTCTGTCTGTCTCTGGAGTTGAAACTTCATCTGATACAAGCAAACGTACATTTTATGCTGCTGAAAATCGCGCATTAAGAGAATTTGCATAATGCTATTAAAACTGTGCGATCTCGTGTCATCTGCGGACGAGAATGCAGCATGGATGAACGTTGCAAGTCGTTTAACTTTAACGACTGCAGTAAAATGTGTAAGTTGAACCTTTCTACAAGATAAGAGCATCCCGAAAACTTCAATACAACTCAAGGGAGTGTGTGCTTTGATGCAGATGAGGACACACCTCACTACTCATTGACTGATAGCTCCTTGAATCGCTACAGAAGTTGCAAGATGCTCTTTATGCCGGTTATCGTTCAAGCGGTACATACACAATCAACCCAGAGGGATTCGGTAATGGCGGTCTTCGTGTCTACTGTGACATGGAAACTGACGGCGGAGGATGGATCGTGTTTCAGAGGCGAAAAGATGTCAGCGTAGACTTCTACCGTAACTGGGCCGAGTACCAGTCTGGCTTTGGCGATCTGTCCGGTGAGTTCTGGTTGGGGAATGACAACTTGGTGACTCTGACGTCTGATGATTCACGTGGAACATGGGAGCTACGCGTTGATTTAGAGGACTGGGAGGGCAACACATCATAAGCGAAGTACCCAGACTTCCAAATATCCCCGGGTGTAGAGTAAGCCAACATGGCTATGTTGTATAGCGCCCTCTTGTGTTCACCATGTTATGCACATGTGATATACCTTGCCATGTAAGTCGCCATCTTGGAATAAACACATTGCATTGTCTTCCCATAAAACCATCTCTTGTCACATTACTACATGGTGGCAGTGGTCTTTGAACCTGCAAAATGCCTTCTAATCCACCCCAAGCAGCAAGACAGCCACAAGTAACAACTCATCTCCCACTACCAGGGAAATTTGATGGCGGAAATGAACCGAGTCAAAGTGAGTTGTGGCCAACGTGGATCAAGCGCTTAAAACTCTATCGAATAGCATCAGGCCTGTCTCAAAAGCAACAAAGGGAACAGGTGAGCACTTTGCTCTATGCTATGGCTGGTTGTGCCGATGACATACTAATAACTCTATTAAGACTCAAGGAAGAATCTGCAACATATGATGAATTCACTCAGGCACTAAATAAACATTATGAAGGCCGCCGTAATGTCATTGTAGAAAGGGCTTGCTTTAACACACGAAAGCAACAGCCAGGGGAACCTATCGATACTTTCATTCAGGACCTGTACCGTCTAGCTGACTACTGTGGTAACGCAGAACTGAAAGACAGTCTCATAAGAGATAGAATAGTCGTAGGGGTGTCGGATGAGAAATGTCGGATCATCTCCAGTCCAAATCTGACCTCACCCTTAACAAAGCGGTCCAGTTATGCCGCCAGGCGGAATCACGAAAACTAAACCGAGATGTGGTGAGAGGTGAAATAAACTTACCTTCACAAGTCGATCACCTCCGGTCGTCATCTGCATCCCACAAGGGATCAAGTAGGACCGGACAAAGCCAACGCCAAAATGCACAGTCATCTGCCATACCCAGCCAGGGAAGTTCATGCCCATGGTGTGGGAAAGAACGACATACTCGTGCTCACTGCCCTGCCAAAGACTCGATTTGCTCGAACTGTCACAAAAGAGGACATTACAAAAGTGTCTGCCGCAGTTCAAAAGTTCACGAGGTACAGGATCTGCTTGATGATGACTCGGACTTACCGTTCCTCTGTGAAGTCTCCAGCAACAAAGACTACTGGACAGCCGACATATCCGTCAATGGACACAAAACATGCTTCAAGTTAGACACGGGGGCAACAGTTTCTGTCGTCAGCGACGCCGAGCCTTGGCTAGCTGGACAGAAACTAAATGCAACGAGTCAATCACTACGTGGACCAGGTGGCACCCATCTTCCTGTACTTGGTGTGCTAGATGCAACACTACAGTATCGGCAGGGACAAATCAAGGAACAACTGTACGTCATCCAAAACCAGCACTGTTCCTTGCTCAGCAAAAGAGCATGCGTCGAACTTGGCCTCATCAAACGAATCCATGAGGTCCAACCAAGTTCACCACCAGCCAGTTTCCGTGCGAAATTTCCAGCTCTTTTCAAAGGTTTGGGCAAACTCAAGACGGAGTACCACATCACACTCCGCCCAAATGCCAAGCCTGTGAGTCAACATACGCCAAGGAAAATTCCGCATCCGCTTCTTCCAAAGGTAAAACTAGAAATCAAATCAATGTTGAAACAAGGAGTGATTTCGCCACTGACTGTACCAACTGCCCAGGTAGCAAGCCCATATGGGGCCCATATGGGAAGTATCTGGGCAACCTGGGTATGGGCAAACCTCTATGTATCCCATATGGGACCCATATGGGTTATCCCATATGGGGGTCTACCTGGGCGTTCCCATATGGGTGTCATATGGGAAGAAACTGGGCAAGCTTATTCGGGAAGAATATGGGCTGGCCCATATGGGTGTCATTAGGGAAAAAGCTGGGCAAGCCCATGTGGGGAAAATACAGGCTGACCCATTTGGGCGTCATATGCGATAAATCTAGGCACTGACCCTCATATGGGCAAAATACGGGCTGGCCCATATGGGTGTCATTAGGGAAAAAGCTGGGCAAGCCCATGTGGGGAAAAAAACGGGCTGACCCATGTGGGCGTCATATGGGATAAACCTGGGCACGCTCATATGGGCAAAATACGGACTGGCCCATATAGGTGTCATTAGGGAAAAAGCTGGGCAAGCCCGTGTGGGAAAAATACGGGCTGACCCATTTGGGCGTCATATGGGATAAACCTGGGCACGCTCATAATGGGCAAATACGGGCTGGCCCATACGGGTGTAATTAGGGAAAAAGCTGGGCAAGCCCGCTGTGTGGGAAAAATACGGGCTGACCCATGTGGGCGTCATATGGGATAAATCTGGGCACGCTCATATGGGCAAAATACAGGCTGGCCCATATGGGTGTCATTGGGAAAAAACCTGGGCAAACCCATGTGGGGAAAATACGGGCTGACCCATGTGGGCGTCATACCTCATATGGGATAAACCTGGGCACGCTCATACCTCATATGGGATAAACCTGGGCGCGCTCATAATTGTCAAAATACGGGCTGGCCCATATGGGTGTCATTAGGGAAAAAGCTGGGCAAGCCCATGTGGGGAAAATACGGGCTGACCCATGTTGGCGTCATATGGGATAAACCTGGGGACGCTAATATGGGCAAAATATGGGCTGGCCCATATGGGTGTCATTAGGGAAAAAGCTGGGCAAGCCCATGTGGGGAAAATACGGGCTGACCCATGTGGGCGTAATATGGGATAAACCTGGGCACGCTCATAATTGGCAAAATACAGGCTGATGGCCCATATGGGTGTCATGGGGGAAAAACCTGGGCAAACCCATGTAGGCAGAATACTAGTACTGGCTGGCCCATGTGGGTGAAATATTGGGGAAAAAACCCTGGGACACCATATGGGTGTCATAATACTGGGCAACTCCATGTAGGCAGAATACAGACTGACCCATATGTGGGTAATGGTAAAAACCGGGTGTGTGGGCAAAATACGGGCTGGCCCATGGTTGTCATTAGGGAAAAAGCTGGGCAAACCCATGTTTGCGCTGGCCTATAAGGGTATCACATGGGAAAACCGTGGGCAAAACCAAGTGGGCAGAACACCGCCTGGCCCATTATGGGTGTCATATGGGGGGAAGCGGCAATCCAATGTGGGTTGAATATGGGCGGGCTCATGTGAGTGTCACGTGGGAAAAACCTGGGCAAACTCGGGAATTATTCCAGTGCCCAAATCAAATGGCAATGTGCGCATATGTGTCGACCTCACACAGCTAAACAAAGGGGTCGGGCGCGAGATTTACCCCATGTCGTCTGTCGACGAAAGTCTGGCCAAGCTGGGTAAAAGCACGATATTCTCCAAGCTCGATGCCAACAGTGGATTCTGGCAACTTCCACTGGACGATCAGTCAAAATTGCTTGCGCCAATTATCACGCCCTTCGGTCGATACTGTTTCAACAGGCTGCCATTCGGCATAAGCTCTGCACCAGAAATAATCCAGCAGACAATGTCTGGTATTCTGGAGGGCCTCGAGGGAGTCATATACCACATGGACGATGTACTCATCCATGGTACTTCTCAAGCTGAACATGATCACAGAGTGAATGGGAATTCGGCTCGGGTAATTATCTGCATCCAGACACCAACCAGTCTTAAACAGAGTGTTTGAAACCGGCCAAGCACACATATATTCCCTTATGCATAACAGATACATGTAGGTGTTTAGAAGGATAACTTTTACAAGATTTAACCACTTGTACAATATAAATAGGCCAACAACAATGTGTTTATCATTCAGGTTTACGTAAATACACATTTCAAACGTTAAAAGCAAGTGGTACATACCCTAATGAGGTTTTTGCAAGGTTTTAATATTTATTATTACATTTACCATGCATATAATTTACGTTACACTGTAAATTCAATGTTTCAAAAATAAAGTTCACTACCATTCAAACTGAGTCTGGGTTCTTTTTTTTGTGGGCATTTATTTTGATCGATCGATTTTGACTCAGCTTTTCACATACACGTTTGTAACCATACACGCTTAAATATCACGTAGACATAGCAATACAATATAATTATGATATTGATAAGAGCGCATATTCAACACAAATATTTTAAGGACGACGAACCCTCCGCATTAACGGGCATTAACGGTGATAATGGACCGGCTTCAAAGAACAAACGAAAAAAATGGCCCCTGAACCAGCATTGATCCAGCCCCATGGAAGGCAATGATTGGCCAAATTTACAATACAGCACTGCACATGCGCTCAACCACCTTCGCGTGAGACTGACGCGCTCGTACGCAACACAGTTGCTATGGGTGCGTGCGCGTAAGCAAGATTTGAAACAACATCGTACAGTGGCAGTGCAGTATACTGAGGATGTTTACGACGAAAGCGTAGATCTACGATTTATTTTCTGTAAATACTTCGCCCATCGACATATTTACCTTTCCTAAACCAATCATCTTTGTAATTCTGGACACAAGGAATGTGTAAACGAGATTTCAGCTTCCTCCGTAAGGTAAAAATATGAAAACATTGTTGTAATTTGTTTGGCTACGGCAGCAGAAGTCGTACGCGTACGCCATGAGGACGTTGCAATTGTCCAGCGCAGCCTGGGCCCGGCTGTGGTGTATATAACAATGCTTACTGAAGAGACAGGGTACCACGCATAAGCTCAAATATGGCACATGAACATGAACACAAAAATAGTCTGGAAATATCGCCGGAAAAAAGTCACAAAGTTGGAGCATTTTAACTGTTTATTTCGTTAAAAAGGTATTTATTAATGGGAATAACAGTGCGAGGATCCGGTCTTCACTGCGTGATAATGACAGGGTTTGGGGTGACCGCTGTTAATGGACCTCGTCTCGGTCCATTAACAGCGGTCACCCCCACACCCGGTCATTATCACGCAGTGAAGACCGGCTCCTCACACTGTTATTCCCTTAGTATAACCTCACCAGGTTGCATAGATATTGATATATTTAATCATTTTCGAAAAAAAATCTCGATAAACAGACGATTTTTCATGAAATTCACCCCTTCGTGAAAACGGTGACGATATGGCCAACGCCCACAGCTCTTTAAATTATTAATCAAAGACTTTGGACATCTTTGCACACGGCAATGTTGCATTAGCATATCTGTCTCTTAGTGTGTCCGATTTTGTCAAACGCCCGACTCTGAATTTACTACGTCATCACTCATCAACAGTTGCGATCGACAAACCAGCTTCAATATTGGACGCCGAGGAGCGATAATCAGCCAGCAGCTACCGGGCCGTCATGATGAATCTACCCGTGGCTCTAGGCACACTTGCGACTGTCGTTCTTGGTAAGTTGATTTTTGTTATTGCGAGTGACGGTTTTCACTGTGAATGCCGGATGTTTAGTTATGTTTAACACGCACAATGCGCAGATGTTCAGGAAAGATCGACCTTTCATTGTGTACACTCACTCATGCATATTTCGTTGATCAGATGCAATAACAAGACCAATAACTTTGGTGCTAAGGATTGTAATGCATTCACCGGCAGATCCATAACCCATCAAAAAGCGCAGGGGAGGGGGGGGGGGTTACCGGCCGACGATTTCAAAGTCGAAACGCGGAATGGGGGAGGACCTTCTTTTACCCTAGGGACGCCCATTTCTCTTTATCTCGGACGCTTCCCTGGACTCACGCCACTGCCTCTTTCCATGGTCTTCAAAATGCCATACCTGTTAAATGTTTCAGCCGATTACATCCAAAATTGAACAGGATCATCCCCGACTCAAGAGCTACCTCAGATGGTCACCATTTTGCATTAATTCGCCGATAGTTTTATTCTTGAAAAATGAAACAGACATTAATTCGTGGATTTTCAGCAAGAAAGAAAATGAACAATGGTCAGTAAACATCGCGATTGCCTGACCAAAATGCACCGTAAATCACCGTTCCATTTTTGTTATGGTCAAAACGTTAGGGGACTAGATTCCCCTTTCCCCTGGAAATCTACGCCCGTGGTTATAGTTTTTGTCCCTCAATGTTAAGTTGCTCATCGGCAATTCCTTGCTTAGTGGCAATTCTAGGTCTGATCTGGAATGACCAGTTGGCGTTTTCTTTCATCATTCAACCTTTTCACTTTTTTAATGTATGTACATTCCAGGTGAAAAAACTGAGTCTGAAAAGCAATGCAGAGCAAATCATGCGCCCCATCTACTGCATGGAAAACAACTAACAATTGAAGATGTGGCTTTAAGACTCAGTTCGTGGGATTCGTCCACATTTACATTTTTACATTTACATTGATATTTAAACACATTTATTTCCTCCATGACAGAAATGAAAAATAATATAAGTATTGAACAAGAAATAAAGGCCACTAGAGGTGGCAAAGCCTTGAAAGCATATCTTGTATCAGGCATGCCATTACACAAAAACAGACGAATTGTTGCAGAGAGAAAATAAATTACACGCGTGTATGTTTCTAAGCAGTAAACAAAGTTGTGAAAAATAATAATAATGGACCACGAGTAGGATCGCCATACAAAGTCCAAGGGCAGAGACACATTAAATATGATACATGCATTATTACATTACATAAGGTACATTTTAAGTTTGCGTTTAAAAGTTTATATGACAATGAACATCTAAGAGAGAATGGTAGATTATTCCATAGTTTAGGTCCGGAATATTTAATTTTGTATTGAAAGGCCGATGTTTTATGTTGCGGTTATGTGGAAATCTAACACGAGTGTTATAGTTATGTAAATTACAGTACAAACATGTTTGAATAGGAAATGGGGCAGTATGATTGTTTTTATACTTGTGTATAAATAGTGCTTGTTGGTATTAATGTAGGTTTTGTTTGACCTGTGCGATCTTAAAAATGACCTTTACATTCAAAATTAATGTCAGCTTCCAACCCCATGTTGTTTCCGATCCCTTGACTGATTGATAAACAATAGTCATTTCCTGCTCTTACAAAATATAAAAACCGTCAGCAGTGAACACAAAGGTTATGTTGGCAGGACCACTTTGTTTACCTTGGAAAAACACAATTCTGACATCTATAATATTCATTTTCATCTGTGTTCCATTCTTAAAAAAGTTGGGGCTGAGGATAGTCTTTATATTCACCGGCAGATCCAGTTAATGTCCGGGGAGGGAGGGGGCGGGGACAACGGACAACGCTATGGACGCCTTTCTCCCATTATTTTATCTCACAACTACGCTATTAAATCGCATAACACTCAGGTATTAGAGTTCTCCTGCGTTTAGCGAAGCGGCAAAAACCTCAGTAATTGCACGTGGAGGAGAAAAAACCTCATCACTCCATAGTGTACTATACGTTTTAGTGTTTCAGGTATTTCTTCTGTTTGGTTGCATTCTTGTTATCATTATTAAGGACTTTCTCCTCATGGTCCGAAAGGTTGGTAATTCACACGGGGCGGTGGCAATCATCTACCCAATACCAACAAAGTGTGATCATCGCTAATTATTGTGGTGTCATTAGACACAGTCAATGGATTCAAGCATATTGCCACAAGGAAAGCGGAAAATATCGCTCAAAAGCAGATTGGTAACTTCATGACAATATTGCAAAATTGTCATAGCCAGTGCAATATACTCTCGTATCCCCCGAAAAAAACCCAACCTGATATTATTTATATCAGGCTGACTTGATTCGCAAGAAATACAATTCAAGACATTGTCTTCATTTCTCCTATTTCGTCAAACTATTTTCGAGCTGCCATTGTGATTATTGACATCAGTGCGCGTCTGTACCTGGCCTGCTGCGCGCTACGCTCTGATAAGTGGTTGACAACTGTGAGTTTCTACGCTTTTGACGGTGCGGGAACCAGCGAAAATGCCTGGATGATGCGCACCGGACAATATCAAAAGTAATATTGTCCGCTATCCGGGTACTTTTGCTGTCCTGTCACCCGAGTACGTTTTAAGCATACAATAGGCTGATTTTTTTTTACCGCTGGAAGCCTGATATAAATAATTATAACAATAATCACTAATGGCCGCAAGGAAATGATATAGTGTGGTGGAGCAGTTTTAAACGTCTGCTTTAACACCGGAATAGTGGTGGCCCTAAATAACGGACCGAGCTGAACCCATTCATAAATACAGTGCTAAGTGCAACCTTTAGTTTTGGGGTTTCAGGAGCTTCAGCGCTTGCGCTCTCGTTACTTCTTACACAGTGTTCCCAAGTGAGGTATCAAAAATTGAACCGGAAAGTTTGCATGACAAAAAGTATATTTCTCAATTTTTGTTTACCGAGAAATGTCCAAACAAGGATGATTGTAAAACCTGCCTAGTTTCTTTTTGTGCCAGGTGTACTTCTCAGACCCGCTGAGATCTGCGAATTCATTGGTACAGTGTTATGAGCACTTTACCCGAATTACTTATTTTATTTTACTACTGTCTTCATATTTTTCTTCTCACTCGTTTGATTGGCTATAACAAATTTGTTTTTGTTCACCAACATATGGGAGGGGGGGGGTGTTCCAATGACCCACCCCCTGGTTTAGTGGTGGAGAATATACCGTCGGTTGCGCCACGAACCGACGTATCGCATTTTTATGTGTTTTGAGAAAATCTGATTTAAAGTTGGTCATTGTTTTGTAGGAACATTCCATAAACTTCCTGTGTAAGAATTCAAGCTGTTTTGTTTTTGCTAGTAAATTATAGATTAAACTTTATAATATGCAATCCGTGTGCATCTGAGTTGCTTAGTTTTTGAGAAATTCAGTTCCCAAGATACTTCGTGAAACAGATTTTTATCATGTTTATCGTCAGATTTGAGGCTTTGCATGGTGCACGATGGAGATATAAATGAATGAAAGGTTTGCGGAAACACCATGTGCGGATAATTTCTCTACCTAGAGAATGGTTCTGAAAAGAACCAGAGGTATAAACTCACGTTCCGGTCAGTATGCTCTGACCGTCATCAGGCGAGTGCATGTTTATCGTATGTCATACAACGCGCGTAACAGTGGCCGTGTGCCAGATACGGAGATACGTCGGTTCGTGAAACGCTAAATTCACACTTTTCATTTCGACGCTCCTTGGTGACGTCATAGCACTATGGAAATTAGCGTGTAAAGCGGCGAATCGGAATACACCAGTTCGTGGTGCAACATTTTTGTTATTTTAGAGCCTACGCCGCACAGTCTAGTTAGCGTTAACCGTTCTTAGTTAATTAAAACTCAGATCGGAATAAAACTTTCTGACAATGAGCACTTTGATGAAGTAATAAAAACTCAATTTGGCAAAAAAATCGAGATACGCCGGTGTGTGGTGCAACCGACGATACACTGTAAAAAATTTGCCCGTAATTTTACGGTAAAAGCACTGTCAAACGGGTTGCCAACAAAAGACCGTGAAATTACGGTCAGTTACGGGTTTCCAAAAATGACGGTGACCGTAATTTTAACGCGAATTTCCCGTAAATTTAACGGCAATTTGCCGTAAAGTAATGGAATACAAAGTGGGTGGCGTCAGAGCTGAGTGTAGGGGTAGGGAGGGGGGTAGGTTCCAGTTGCAGCAGCTGGGAGTGGGGTATGCATACGTCTTGCAGCTTGTCTTTTACACGCATAGTGGTTTTCAAATCACTTAAGGTGAAATTATCTTTAAGTTGTAATTTTCATTTACAACTTTTTACCGATCCCACAGAAAGGGGTCAACATATTGCTGGTCAATACCGCAGGATTAGCTGCTTGACTCTTCAAATTTCGCAATACCAAAACTTTGACGTCCCAATGATCAGCACGTAGCGAACGTTGCGTGAGTGCACACGAATCACAGCTTTAAAAACTAGGCGGTTGTAAGGGTTTGAAAGGGGAGGGGTTTTGAAAAGTTACGAATACAAACCATTGTGAATCCCAGCCTGCGTCAGGGCACCAAGTTTTACTGGAAATGCACGTAGCACGTTCTTTCTTGTGACGGTTCGAGGAATAACGGTACTAAACCGTAAACAATACGGGAAATGGACAGTGTTTTTACGGGTTTTGTTTACAGTGTACATTCCCCTGTCCACCTTGGGATTTACCCCTAAGCTCAATCCAACCATCACAGTAAACAATATTTCGCCAATTCTGCAGGCTACACATTCACCAATGGTGATTGGTTCAATTTCAATCTGCAGTACAAATAGTTATTGCTGAGAGTCAGTTGAGGACTTGCAGTTACTTCGGCCTGGCACCGGAGCCGCTTCCCGGTGAACATTGGATGCAAGCAGCCTCTCGAGAACTACACCAACGATGCACAGGGACACGAAACTCGACTGGTAAGGAGAACTTAGTGATCAAAGCTATTTAGTTTGTTGATATCTTAAACACGCACTTAACCTACTTTTGGGCTTATCAATAGTTGTTTCCTATCAAAAATTCCTTGGGGGCGAATTCGCATTTCTTGTTTTTAAACGAGAAAAAATGTTTATTCAAGAAATCAGTAAATTGAAGACTTTTGTAAATATGTAAATGTTTGCACTAACTGAAACCAATCACGCTGCGCCACGCCGACAGATGTACATGTAATCTTGCTATAATAATGATTAATTATGAGAATCAAAACCTGCATTTCCCCATATGAGAGGAGGATTTTGTGAGAGGAAATCCCCCCCCCTAAAAAAAAAAGAAAAAAGGACGCCCTCACAAAATGTGGGACGTCCTAAAAAAGGGTTGACGCCAATGTCGCAATTACTTTTTTTTCTGCAAACAATATAGTCAATGACGATTATGCGCATGCGTCATGCTGGTGACGGAATGGTTCTCAATCGATAGAACATTATTAAGGTATGGCAAGATGAGTATACAGCGCCTCCCAAAACACCCGCAACATTTTGTTTGCGAGGCTTTAGTGTCGCCGCAAAAACACGCACCGACATTGTTTATATATCATTTTAAAGGTTGGAATCTTTGGTTATCTCTGGTTAGTGTAAGTTTGATTTTCAAAATGGTGTTCAATTGATTCGTGTTCAAATAAAGGCATGTCAACAACAAACCAAATCGATTTCAAAGAAAATCAATCCTGTGCATTTTTACTAATGTGGAAATGGTTCATCATGTTCATAAGGCCAAAATAAAAAAGTCTCCGGTTTCTGGTATGGAGCTTGCCCAAAAAGTGGTGCGGTGACGCGGCTTTTTTTTTTTTTTTACCTGATTTTTTTGCTTCAAATGTCGGCTGATGACTGCAAATGGTCCTCGACTAAACTTAGTGCAAATATATGGAAGTCCAGAGAGGCCACATAAAGCTTATTCTCGACCATAACCCAATCTAAAAACACGTTAAAACTGTGCAGCAGCAGGATTCCAGTCAAACCAGTGAGTATGGCGGTTTTGAGACATCATCTTTCATTGAATAACAACCTTTTTCATTTAGCCGACGCGCATGGCTACGGCGACGCGCGCGCATACCAGAAACCGGAGACTTTTTTTTGTTGGCCTTATGTGACAATCTCGTTATCTTTTACTTTCTGTGTGTCCTATTCTTTTCGATCCACGTAGACTACACCTTAAATGAGTTCACAGTGTTGTTCTTAGTTTCAAGTTCAAATTTGAAATTCTCGTGCAAGTACGTACCGATTCAAAAAGCGCGCTCCAAGTGTGACTCGAGTTTGCATCTGATGTACCGCATCATCGATTTTCCTTTAAATCTGCTGAGTATGTTTTCATCATTCCTCTTTTAAACACAAATAAGTATAAAACTCTTTGAAATATCAAACCGATACTCGCCAGGAATAATGTTGCGATTCAAAGCTTTAATATGGTATAAAAATAATGGCGGTACGTGTTTCCGCGCTGGCCTAGAGACTCCCCAAAAAAAGAAGTTGCGGGTATTTTGGGACGCGCTGTAAAGGGTGCATAGTGTCGAAGATGGAAGGAAATAAGAAGTTTGGACAGAACACCAATATTTCGAGAGATGACATATCAGCCCACGATATCATGTCATCAATAAACACACCCAGAAATGTAATATCATGAACCTTTGTTATTGGGTCACCGTCTATTTTGATGGATATGTTACAGCTGTGGTCTGCTGAATACGATATACTTGGTCTTGATGGAGTTTAATGACAGCTAAACCTTCCTATAGCTCAGTAGGACTTGATTTAACACAATTTAGGAAAGAAATGACTTTCGTGGCCTGCAGGAAAAAAATATATATTTACGCCCAGGTCTGGAAGGCACATGAGTTAATCCTCAACTATTTCTGCCCAAATACGTTTTTTTATGAAGCACCTTTCTCGTTTTTTGTCGAAATTTTGCAAAAAAATCTTGGACATTTTAAATAGTTTTCAATCAAAATAATAATATCATTTTAAACATTGGTAATACTCAACAAAAATCACATGCTTGTTTTCCTCCTTTCAAAAATTAACAAATCTTTACTCCAACCTCCCTGCCAATAAAAAGGAAAGGGCCAAAGAAACCATAAGGTGCTCAAATTTCTATGCACGAGGACGCAAGAACTAGGCAAGTTGATATCTACATGTATCATAAAGATTGTTTTTCTCTTTAAGGAAACACACACGACCCATCTGGTCAGAAAGTCGACGTGTCGACGGAATCCAAGGCGACTACCGACCAGCCAACCACTGAACTAACCATCTCGACTGTTGAATCGACAGAGTCATATACAGGTGCGACAAAAACTAAATACCGGCGCACACCTTTCCGATTTTACCGGTTCACCGGATAACTCCATCACCGTTGGGGTTCGACCGTACCGCAACGTTACCCGCACGTGTCCGATTACGTTCTATAATCGATCACATGATGATCAGTCACATAATGACCAGTCCCATGATTACAAAATGGCAGTCGTCGATCTTGAATCATGTGACTTCCTTCGTGAATATAGGTATTTTTCTGTGACATCGGTTCCGGTGAAATCGGATGCGAAATGCGAATGTTTGATTTCATCCGGCCGCCCGGTGTACGGTCAGATCGGTCCGAATTATCAGAGCACACCTATGTACGATGGTCGGATGATCCGGTGAACCGGTAAAACTGGAGAAGTGTGACGGGCTTTAGGCTTGAAACTCGTCGTCGAAACATACAAATATTTTGTGTGTGATTATAGTATATACATTCATGATCGATGATTTTTCTTAAGAAAGAGTGTTCAATTCAAAATCTAATTTTGCTATATTGGACGCAAAAGAGGGTTACGTCTTATTAAAAGAGATCCATTTGGTCATTTTATCTTCAATCCCGACATCAATTGATTAAAATGAATAAACAACATTTGCTTTTGCTGTTATTTTCGGAAATGGTGAATTTGGGGGGTAAGTATTTTATAGCAAATATTGTAACACTGACTTGTTTGAAGTATTGGGTTCGAAGACGCTGAAAACAAAACAAGAAAAACGATCATATTCTTGTAGTCTGTCCCTGACCCGCTCAGATTATACAGAGCAATTTATAAACGTTGAGGAATTGTAAGGTCAGGGAATCTGTCTAGCTGGCTTATACCCCTGGTGCGTAATCAATTGCAAATAAAATACGGACTAACTAAATATGACAAATTGGGAGCACTGAGTATTTGAAAAGAGCCAGTTTTTCCAACGCTGGTCGGCCGACCAGCGTTGGAAACTGATACAAAAATACCACTTTTCTTGATAATGCCAGCACACCAGGTCCATGATTTTACAGGATGCTTTAGACTGTCATTCACTAACAGTACATAAAAGTATTTCGTGATAATTTTGTAGTTTTGGTTTTTGATGTTTGCAAATGTTGTATATTCCTTTTAATTGATTGTAGATGGTCCCCGATATGCTGGCTGTCAGGAGAGTTATGATGGCGGGATAAATGGCGGTGTCATCACTATATACCCGCCGCAGTATCCAAATGGTTTGGCTGTTTTCTGCTACAATGGTTGGATGGTAAGTTCCTCCTGCAGTATCCCTGGATACACAGGCCCGTCCCCGCTGACCTGAGACGGGGAAAGGGGAGGGACCGGAGAGGGCAGGGGGAGGGGGCACCGTCAACCCCCATTGTGGAACTGTTCATGTCAACTTAATACCCAACATAACACATCATTCGTAGGCCAGTTTGATGCTTTCCTACAGATGGATGTTTGGTGAGCACAAGAGATAAACATAATGAGAACATGCTTAAGCAAGTTTCCAACCGAACCGAAGCAAGCAAAGCACATGCAAACCCAGACAGGCTTAACCCTCCCCCCCCCCCCAGCCCAACCCAACCCAATCCAATCGCCCGCGAAGCGGAAAAGCCGCCCATCCCGCGAAATGGGCAGGGTGAGGCGCAGTCTCGTCATGAATAATTATGAGCTGGTTTGCTTGATTGAAATTCATGAACAGGGGCGGATCTAACTTTCAGTATAAATGGAGGGGGGGGGGGGAATTGATGGGGGGAAGGCGGGGGGGTGAGTGAAGGCGTGCTTTGGCACCCCGCCCCCCGAATTTCGAAATCTGCGCTTTATGCTTCCTCATGTATTCTAAGGACCCGAACGAACGCCTTAGTCCAACCGTCCGCGTAAGCTTTTGGGGTGGTGCACTGGTGCTCATTATGGTAATAACCTGAGCTGACCTTAAAAAGTCGTTTTCTCATAGGTCGATTGTTGCGTACAAAGCAGTCAACGAATCGAGTTGATCCTGCATCAATGCCGTCCTGGGCGCGGTGAGGTATGGGCTTTGTGCTTGGTCTGAGCAGCTCTGAGCAGAACGGAGCTGCCTGAAAAATTATGGATTTCCCATCGATGGATTTCCCATAACCTGTCGGCAAATTCACGAAAACATCGTGACCATGAGGTATTATTAGGCCTTCCGCTGCTCGGGTCGAAAATCTTCGAGGAATAATTCATCCACTGCAGAATTCAAGCAACACGACATATCTTCGGATTACAAACAACGCTGAATCTCTGCCATTTGTGTTGTACACATTCTAGCGGACGACCTCGTATGCGAATACAGATACGTGTAGGCGGGGCTAATTTGTGGAGTGTCCCATCACACCTTGGTAAATCGCAATGTCATCCATTTATATATTGTATGACGTCGTGATTTACCAAGGTGTGATTGGACACTCTACAAATTAGCCCCGCCTACCTCTATCTGCATTCGCATACGAGGTAGTCTGGTTCCCTGACCAGACAATTTCCCCCGACGCCCAGACGTCTAAATTGTAGGTCAGGCAGCCTTCGTGGGTAAAGATAAATATGACGACATTGACGGCCCTTTTTCAAAGCTCGGCTTTGTTTACGAATTCGCTCTATCACTATAGCTTTTAACGTTCCAATCGTATTTTTTCAAAAACATTACCTGCTTCATAATATGTCATACAGTTTGATATTTCTGTAAGAAAACATTGACGAAGGTTGACCCGTAATCTTAAAAGTTAGGGACCCAAATATCATCTAAAAGCAGGCGAAGCCAAAATGGAGACCACGCCGAGTTTGGGAAAATCCCAGTAACCGTCGCCTGATTCAAATACGCAGCAAAGCTCGCCCCCTGGAGGATCCTAGTGCATAAATGATGCACACAATCATCATCGAAGTTTATTGATGCAATTTATGAATATTAATTATCAACTTAGTTTTTAATTTCTAAAAATAAACATTCGGCAAACTTCGGCCATTTTCGGAAAAAGGAGGCATTGCTCTCGTTTTAGTCACGTGCCGTATGTTTCTACATATTTTGTGTAGATACTAGCGGGTACCTGACCTACGATTCATCAGAAATAGCCAGAATCGATTGGTCAGGGAACCAGACTACAAACGAGGTCGTGCGCTAGAAGTCTAGCGCAAAATAAAGCAAAACATAAGCTTTCGCGGACGGTTGGACCGAGGCGATCTTTTGGATCCAGTTTATTTGCATATAAGAGGCTGCATGAGGTCGATGTTCGCATCTATGGGTTTTTTTTGCACTGTTGGGCGGCGAGAATAAAACTTTGGCCGCCGGTTACCGTGCGGACGGCTAATGACCGACGCCTTGACCAAGCTAGGCTAGTTAATTATTTAAGATTATTAACAATATTTTTTTAAATTATTAAAAATTATTTTTCCCCAAACAACATCCGCATTACATGGCTATTGAGCGCCCTCTACGAACTTTTATGATACGTACGCATTATTGCCATGAATTTCCAAGATTTTTGAGTAGTTTGATGGCTCAGTTGGTTAGGATCGTGATTTTGCATCGCGAGGGACCCTCGCGGTATGGGTTCGAATCACCATTAATTTTTTGTACGCGATTTTTTTTTTATCTGAGGCTTTTGAGGATATGTTTTTAAAGGGAAATAAAATCCAAATGTCATTACGTTCGAATTCATTTCCCCCCCCCTAATTTTATGTCTTTTCTCATGTTTTTAAGAGAAGTAAAGTCCAAAACGTCATAGCGTACTCCCCATACGGATGTCGTTTGAGAAGAAAAAAAACCGCCCCCGGCGTACACGCCTGCCCTGCAAAACCACTCGTCTAATATCTGTCATTGTTTATCCGTTTTAGGTGATTCAGATGCGCTATTCAGATGTGGTGAATTTCACCCGTAGCTGGGCCGAGTACCGAGACGGCTTCGGTGATCTGACGGCGGATTTCTGGCTGGGCAACGAGATAGTCCGCCAACTGACCTCGGAAGGCCGTTGGGAACTGCACGTACAGTTTCATGTGAAAGATGCACCCCAGCTGACCGATATATACCTGAAGCTGTTCAGGATTGCAGGTGATAATTACACACTACATGTGCAGCCATTGAGTGCATGGCCAGCAGGTAAGAACCCAGCAGGTATCAACTGATCTACTTGCCTTAAAAAAGTACTACTGTAATTACAATTCCTATAAGAACCTCAAAACATAATTCGAATTATACAAGGACGCGTCCTGAACACTTGACGGCTGAAATTACAATTAGCACGAACAGTCGCAAAAGTGGACACTAAGAGCCGTTCTCACACAGAAACAACACAAAAACACCCGGTTTTTGAAGGATGGTTGTGTGGATGCTTATATCTTACTTTTGAAATGTTCTTTCCAGTTAAAACCATTTCGTTCAAAACGCGTTTTGTAGCCCAATTGGGCGCTTTCCAGGACGCAGTGTGCCAGGACCATTGATCTCCATATACACATGGAGATCAATGGCCAGGACGCAGAAGGGCATATGCGCGTACGCCCTAGCTTATGCGCAAACGCGTAATTACCAAAATGTTCCCAGCAACAGGGCATAGGCAGAAAACATTTCAATGAAATTTAAGCATTTCCTTCGGAAATTAACACAATTGTTCCAAGAATTATGATTCATACTTGTGACAAATATAAAATCAGTACGATTTATAGTACGTATGGGGAACGTTAAAGCCTTTCTTTTCTTGAAAAGTAATTTTCGTGTCAGAACGCTCATATGCCCTTCTGCCGGGCACCCGACCCACTAATACTGCATTTAGCTTGATCAACATAAAAAAAAAAGCCATGCATTTCGCGTAAGCTGTGTTGACAAAGAATCTACTTGATTATCTAAAAAGAATTGCACAATACTTTTCGATAAACCTCAACACATGTCATTTTTTAATTTTCCGTTTGGTAGGCAAGTCTCTCGCTAACATTCACTCAGGCCAGCCGTTCTCAACCTACGATCGCGACAATGACGCCGATGGCAACGCCAATTGTGCCGCTCAGCTGAAGGGAGGCTGGTGGTTCAAGACTTGTACTGGAGGAGTCGGGAATGTGGATCTCGTGCCAACTAACCTGAATGGGGAGTATTCCTATCCCGTCAACTACACGGGGCAAGATTACCGCGGTGTCAGGTGACGAAATAAGATATTGCACCCTCGAGATTCGTCGCGTGTGACTTGGGTAGTAATTTTCTTGGTCTAACCTTGTTTTTCGGTTTGGTAATAAAGATTGAAAAGATTGTTTTTGCAAGATTCAAAAGAGAATGGAGTGAACCTGTCCGATATACAAAAAACGGGGTATTACACGGTAATGTCTTTAAACAAAATAAGACTTATGTCTGTCACCAGCCTGAAAAAGGTCCCCCCCCCATAATTTTGTAGTTTCTCCCAAAGTACTGTTTTCTTATTTAAATCTGTTCCATTATTATTTAAATAACCAACGGCCATTCACAATAGCCTTAGTCAACAGGACCCTGGTTAGCGTCATTGCAATACTGACCGGAGACGAGGAAAGACCATGTCATAATTTGCTTTCCTTTTCCCGTTTACGCAGGTAAATATTTGGTACTTTTACCTTTTACATTTCATAGTTAATTTATCATGAAAAGTTATGTAGATGTATAGATGTAATTTTCTCAACGATTCTGCTTGTAAGTGTTGCTCTTTCGAAGCACAGATTCATGTGAGCAATGTTCGCGTTAATTTCCAAGTTCGATTTATTCTTAACATTAATCAGTCTAGATTTAATGTAAACTAGTATTGCATTATCTTCTTGATCTTGTGGCACGAGTAGTTTGAAGTATTTTGTTTCATTATCTTGGATTTTGATGCTATTTTTCTGTAAAAACCGTTATTTTCCAGGATGGCGGCCGTAAGATACGGTTTGGCAGGAAACCACGAAAAAGCCGCCATTTTCCATTTTATTCAAACTTATCGCTAATATGTAAGTGTTTCTTAGATATAGAATATGATGCAGATAGTTTGCACTCTTATTTCGATTTATTTATTCATTTAATAACGTGTTTGTAAATATTAGTTGTCCTTGCAATGCTGACCGGAGACGAGGAAAGACCATGTCATTATTTGCTTTCCTTTTTCCCGTTTATCCAGAATAAACCAGCACAAAACAGAAACCAAGTCGCCGAGTCCTCTTCCCACTTTTCGGCTCTTTAACACCCAGGGTCACACGTCGAAAAAATTAGAATCCAGAATTTTAGCTGTCTTCGGCATTATATGTCTACCAATGCGTAGTTTTTATTTGTGAATGATATGGCATATTGAACTGTATTTAAAACATCAATTTATGTTCACATCAATATTGATGTTCACTCATTTAAAAGTTTGATTTCCACAGCTTTTGCGGATAAACTAAAAGCACAGCCAACGAATTTCTTTTCGCTCTCTTTAACTCCATTTTGGTTTACTAAAAAGAAGACAATATAGTGTCTTATTCTGCAAACACACATTTTGTGAGGACGCATTTTATTGGGAATCTGTATGATGCAGGGATGTAGTCAGGTCCATCACAAGTCCTTGCAAGTCCATCACAAGTCCTCCAGTCCCAATTCAAGTCACAAGCTATTCAAATGAGCTTTGACAACTGCATCTCTTTATTTGTTCTTCCACTGTTACTATCTTGTGACTGGACTTGTGATTAAATCGTGAATTGTGATTGTTCGACTAAACATCCTTGTCTCCGTAAAATGTATTAGAAGCGAAATTGTCAGTAGGTCACTTCACTGAAAATGTTTGAAACTTATGTAATTTAAAGGATGCAAATAATTCATTATTTTTTTTGGGGGGGAGGGGCTTGTGTTGTGGCCCCTCTAGATTCCGTTACAGCTTTTTTGAAAAAGCAATGGCACCTGCGTATTCTGTGTAAGTTTACTACTGATTTTTCGGAGCTTTTCAAATTTCACAAGGGGAAAATATCGACACAATTTTAGAAATTCGAATTAAACGTTCGAACCCCAATACACATGTGCTTCCTGCCTCACTATTGCTTCCGCGCATGCGCGCTTAATAAATGCATTTAGGCCTATAGTGACAGTATCAAATAATGTAGCCAACTGTTCCACTCAAAACAGATATTCTACAAATATAATAAAGGTGTAACAAAAGGGTTTACTGAAGATGCGATAGAAGAAAAATGAAACGGTATTATTACGTTTCAGCATATCGATCGAAAACATTCGTGAGCGCGCGCAAATGAAAGATGCAATAAATGCTTGTTGAGTGGGGGGGGGGGGGGGCGTGTACATGGACACGCTTTTGTGCTGATCTGAATGGCCTGGCCTCGGTTTTAATGCTTGCCCGGCTTGATTAATTTGCTGCTGGAAGCGTTTTCGACGTCCATAGTTCCAATAACACATACGCTGTTCGATTCCTATCAGGTACTTCACACCACGCGATAGTTGACAATCTGCAGGAGACCCACTGACGGTTGCCTCTCGTCAAACCCCCGGCATTCCGTGAGAAGATGGCTCCGCTGATTCTGTGGTCATTTCTTGTCTTTGGACTAGGGGGTAAGTTTTCTTTCTTTTAATTTTAACATGGAACAATTTGCATGCAAACTGCACCCGAATGGACGGACCTTTAAAATATACCAATCAAAAAAAAAAGTATGGTTAATATTATATTATTCATAAAGAATATTCTGCAGCCTTCTATATAATGATTTTATGCATAATTATAAAAGGAAAGTTTTCTGACATCGGGGCGGATTTCAATTTCCCCTAATAAAAAGTTCGCGCCACGTCGCCCCCCCCCCCCACCTAAAATTTGGCATTGGGAAAAAGAACAGCCATATGAGCTACCATGATTAGCTGGAAGAACCTAAAGTGTCCTTTTTTTCCCGCGATTTTGTGCGTATTTTTCACCAAAACTCTGGTTTTTCGTGAGTGGCTTTTTATTGTAACGTCCGTTGGAGAGCGAATAGCGGTAGTTATTGTCTAATATAGCCATCACATCGTCACCGTCACCACGAAGTGACACTAACATCTAAAAATCGATATTTTGCGATTTCGATTTTTTTCCCTAACTGTGATTAATTACACATAATCTATTACCTGAAGAAGTTTCTATACACAGAGTTAAAGGGAATATACATCATTGGCTTTTGCTGTAATTTTCAGAAATGAACTATTTGAGGGGTTAGTATCATAGATCAAATATTGTTACACTGACATGTTTGAAGTTTTGTGTTCGAAAATGCTGGAAAAACCAAGAAAAACAAAAATGTTCAAGTAGTCTGGTTCCCTGACTCCACTAAATATATCACTAAATGGATCAATTTACAGATGCCGCAAAATTGTAAGGTAAGGGAACCAGTCTAGCTGGCCTGCACCCGTTCATGAACATGTAAACCAATACCAAACAAAATTTCGACTAAAAAAAAATGGTAAATTTGGAGCAGTAGTTGACAAAATGTTAGGTTTTTCCAACGGTGGTCGGCGACCACTGTTGGAATTTTTTACAAAAATACCATTTTCTTGAAAATGACTTCACACCAGTTGCCATAATTTTACAGGATGCTTTAAACTGTCATTTTCCAACATCCTAGTAAGGTATTTCGTAAAAATTTGGCAGTTTAATTTTTCGATGTTTGCAAATGTTGTATATTCCCTTTAATTAGTTTTGCCAAAATATTAATTAACATTGAGTAAACTTTGAAACTTAATGGGTCAAAACCGAAAAACGCGTTTTCACGAAGTGTACTTTACCATTCTTTTGCGTGTAAAGTGCCTGCACACTACGCGTCAAAAACGGGTTTTGCGTTTTCACGAAGTAACACAAATATTAATGTCACGCGACTCACTCCTGGCGTTATCACGAAGTAGCGCTAACCCATTAGCTTATACACATGGTAAGCGTCACTTCGTGAAAATCATACATTAACGTGTCATACAAGTTTCCAGCTGTCAGACAATGCAACGAAATATGGATTTTGAGGCTAAAACGATATTTTGATCACCGTTTATAACATCGTCAACTTAAATCGGTTGTATCTCAAAACACAAATGTTCTACTTTGCGGGGGTTAAGGTTTCTTCGTGGTGACGCTGATGACATATACGTTTTGAACAGCTCCCCCATGAGAAAATGGCGTCCAGCTTCAAGACCTCCCCCCCCCCACCCCACACACACACACACGTTTGCTTTACATACGCTATGTGGACATTCCTTTGTTTTCGTGTAGTTAAGAAAACTCGGTACAAAAAATCACTTTACTTAAACTGTGAAAACTCTTTCAATCCAATTTTTTTCCTATGATTCCCTATAGTGTTTCTCTTCATTCTGTTACGGATAAACCTAAACCCAAAATGCGTTTTCCAGTGTCCTGTTTTCCAGAGAGGGCGAAACGTTATGTGGACACGGCTTAGTCCACATAACGTCAACACAACCTACATTATGTGGACATCTTTTGTTCACAAGTCCACACAGAGAATGTAATGCCTACCCACACCCACACACCCACACACACACATTCTCAAATTTGTATCCTTGTGGAGACATTCCTTTGTTCTCGTGTAGTAAAGTGTTCAATTTTGAAAGTGAAGTTTCAAAATGCTCTTATTTTAACCAGAATTAGTTTCCTTGGCTGAAATTTGGACTTAATATCCCTTTTCTAAAACTCTTTCATTTGCGACATATCAACCCACCTTGGAAATTCCTAGTTTTTGAGTAAAACCCATATATCTATTTCGTGAAAACCTTGTGGAGACCTATTCATCTATAGAAATTGCCCTGTGGAGACCTTTACAATGTTTTGTTCCCTATTGTGTGTGTGTCTCCACAAGGATACGAATTTGTAGTCACCCACACCCACACCCCCCCCCCCCACCCACACACCCACACACACAAATTGCTAACCATTCGGTGACCTTTTACCTAATTCTGTGTACATCCTGTATAGACCATAATCATGTTGCGGCCATCTTGATTTTTCCCTATTCAAATCAACGTAACTAAAGCGAGACTGGATGGAAAAAATAGTCTGGTTCCTTTTTGCGCACAAACATTATCATTCAGTACTTGTTAGTGGATACCGGAAACATGACTGAAATGGCTGCAGCATGTTAAACGTCTATAAGGCTCGGTCCAGGAATACAATTGACCAAGTGGGAGAAGAAATATC